GAATTGCGATCTCAAAATTGAAGAAAAATTACGAGTAGCTGAAAAAATGGAACCAATTGATGCGATATATCGCATGCCGTTCTGACACAAAATATTGCGTCCATCAAATCACCTTAACATGACACGTTGAAGTTTAAGAATGGTTCCGTTGTTTTTCTCGTAAAATTTTATTTGAACAGTATCCCTTGAAATTAATAATGTGAAGAAATTAACATGAAAATGTGTAGTTTTGGTCGAGAATTGTATGCCCAGCCTCTCTCAATAGACCGCCCCACTGAGCGTCGATACCACCGCGGGATACTCATTTAATAGAATAAGTTTAAGTGACCGATCACTGGAAAAAGGAGCACAATAACTCAAAATTAAGTTAGTGACAAAAAAGGGTTGAGGGGAGTATTTTGAAAATATTTAGCGACGAAAAATGTCAGAAAATGTTGACGATAACCGAAGTACTTCGCGGCATGGTTTGCGTTAAGAAAGTACAATGAAAAAAAATTGGTAAATTTGAAAAAATTAGTAAATTTAAAAAAAGTAATTTTGGGAAGAATTTATCGAAACCTCATAAGTAATTTTTTAAAAAAGTAATTTTGAGAAGAATCAATCTAAACCTCTGATCTATCATCAGTGCATAAAATGTGCGAATTTGAATAAACTTGTACTCATTATATTTACAACAAATGCACTAAACCTCTCACGACTCATTTTTTACATGACAGGGAGCGTTGTTCGTCGAAATTTCAAAATCTGTTCGGACTCAACGTTACAAAATTCGTCCTCCAAGAAATTGTATATCCCGTAGAATAAGGTCCCTGTTCCGTGGACGATTTCGTACACATACAAGTGTGTTATAATAAGTACAGGTATAGATGGATTGACACACATCAAATTTTGAGTCAAGCTTACATGGCTCTACCTGGGCATACATGAAAACTGGTTTTGAAAACTTTAATAAGTCGCTAAAACTGCAACAATTCAAATGCCTACATTTTACACTTTATAGCACAATACCATATTAATTCTATTATGTACAATGGTTTTGGAGTGCACGGAAAAAAAACCCATGACAAACATATCGTTGGCATCCAGGCTTTCCTGATCAATTTCACGTATGGCAACAATTAAAACATCATAAAAAAGAAGTAATCAAAAAAAGAGATGGAAAGTTACAGCCGCGGTTCATCTAGGCCTCTTTCCTGTACCGAACCGCTGAGCATGCCGATACTTCCTGGTAAAGACGTATATGGGTGTTAGTGAGTAAATACCACACCCGTTTTTTCAACGTGAAACAACTCCATTATCACAGAAATTTATTCTTATATTTTAGGAACAAGAATCAACCTAAATCATTGCCGTGGAAGTCATTCTCTCATTGCAAAAAATATTTTTCGTTGGAAAGGGTGAAAGGTCAATATTTTAGTGATTGGAGTTATTTAACGTTACTCCCCTCCACTTTTTTAGCTTAAAACTGATCAAATATAATCGCATAAGACTATTCATCAATTAACCTTTTCACAGTTAAAATATAATCTTCGCAGGAGCTGTGGACAACATTTCTGGAACCAAAGTAGACCTACATGGCAATAATGATGAGCTCCGGAAGTCCCAAACATCCTCGAAAATTCTTAGGCACAATCATTCTCATACACTTGAGGCAATTTTATGGTCATTTTACTTCCAAAAAATCTAGAAGAGTGTCTGAAATTTCGGCCCTAGACACGTTAATCTTGAACGTTTTGCTAGGAAATTGAAATTGACCGCAGCTTGGAGCTCTCTTGAGTCGATTAAAAACAAATTTTTCAGGGAAATGTCCAGAGGGCTCCAAGAATCATTCTGAGATTTCAGCTTGCACGCTCACTGAAAAAAAAAGTCACGGGCTTTATAGACATACCGTTCGTTCCGGGCTCAGAGGCCGAACCTTCAAGGTGCCAGAGCCGTAGCTTCGATTGCCTCGGGTGCTACGTCCGAGACTTTCGGCCTCTGAACCCGAAGCGCGGACGGTATGTCTATTTTGCCCGTAAGTACGGTTTCCACGCTGCTGTGCTAAGGAAGAACGCCGTATGAACATTCGAGAGTTGCCAAATTTCCCTTTATAAAATGATTATTTTTGAGGAAAGCTATGAATACTTTTCCTCGGAATTTTCAGGAACTTTAGGTGAAATCGCGAACAAAATGATCTAAAAAATTGGAGAAAAAAAATTTACAAATTTTACCAAAAATTCGTGATTTACCAAAGGAAATTTGGCAACGCCTGAAGGCTCATACGGCGTTCTTTCTTAGCACGGCAGCACGGGCATAATTTTTTTTCCAGTGTACTAATGCGGTTTAAATTGTTCTCTACACTATCACCTCCTTCCGAGTCTGGTACTATAACTCGGAACCAGCGGTCTACCGAGGAGGTTATGATTGGACTCACAAACAGTTCCCCTGACGGCGCGACTCACATCAACAACAGTCAAGAAGTAATTGGGTCCGACCGGGTCGAGTCTGCCATAGAGATACTGATGGAGCCGATTAGCCATGATGTAGAGCTTCCTCGGGTTACCGTCTTGGTCCACGTCGGTGAAATCCAGCTTCATGTCGTTGGCGAACGAGAGGGAGTCGTTGCTGACCGCCAGAAGACCCTGCGAGTACTGGCTGTGTTTGTAGGATCGGGAGTTCCAGCACCCGATGGCTTTCAGCGAGGGCATGTTGTAGAAGAGAACGCCGTTGTTGTCCATGGCCGAGCCGCTAGCGTGATGCCCGGCACCGCCGCGGGGATCGCCGACCGCCTCGAAGTCGTCCACGCTGTTGCGAGCCGCCGGCTCCGTGTTGATCTTGGAGACGGGGACGCGGAACTCCCGGTTGGAGCTCAGCGCGTGGAAGTACAGGTACCGATCCTCGGACTCGGGGTCCACGGGCGACAAAGTGAGCGAGAAGATCCCGTCCACCCACTGCCAGCGGATGTTGTCCATCCGGTAGTCGGAGAGGAGGGGGTCGGGGTAGAAGTAGGCGTGCC